ATAAGGATGGCTTCTGTGTTCCTATCCATTCTGTTAGCCTGGGTCTTTTAAAGGCAAGTTAACACCATTAATATTTAGGGAGATTAAGGACCTTTGAGTATTAATTCTTGTTTGTTTTTGATTTGTTGGTGGTGGTGGTATTGTGTTTGGATTTACCCTGCTTTTTCTTTTGGCTTTTGGTAATGTGGTATTATCAATAGCTTATGGTTTTTTGTGTGTAGTTAGCTTCCTTAAGTTGGAGTTTTCCTCCAGTCCTTTCTCTAGGGCTGAATTAGTGGATATGCATTTTTTAAAATCTGATTTTGTCTTGGAATATCTTATTTTCTCCATTTATATGATTGAAAGCTTTGCTGAGTATAGTAGCTTGGGCTGGCATCCATGTTCTTTTAGTGTTTGTAGACTGTCTATCCAGGACCTTCTGGCTTTCAAAGTTTCCATGGAGAAGTCATGTTTGATCCTGATAGGTTTGCCTCTATGTGTTACTTGGCCTTTTTCCTTTGCTGCTCATAATATTCTTTCTTTATTCTGTATGTTTAGTGTTTTAATTATTATGTGGCAAGGGAAGGTTTTTTTTTGTGGTCCACTCTATTTGGTATTCTGTAGGCTTTTTGTACTTTTATTGGCATGTGTTTCTTTAGGTTGAAAAGTTTTCTTCTATGATTTCATTGAATATGTTTTCTGACCCTGTGAGTTGGGTTTCTTTGCCTTCTTCGATACCTATTTTTCTTAGGTTTGGCCTTTTCACGGTGTCCCCTATTTCCTGGATATTTTGTGTTAGGGGTTTTTTTGGACTTAAGATTCTTTTTGGATGATGAATGTATTTCTCCTAGTGTATCTTCAGAGCCTGAAAATATCTCTTCTATCTCTTGTATTCTGTTTGTTATGCTTGCATCTGTAGTTCCTGATCATTTACCCATCTTTTCTAACTCTGGTATTCCCTCAGAGTGTGTTTTTAAATTTTTTCTCTATTTCAGCTTTCAAACCTTGCACCGTTTGAATTGTTTCTTTCACGTTTTGGTTTGTCTTTTCTTCCAATTCTTTAAAGGGTTTTCTCATTTCATCTTTTAGAGTCTCTATCATCTTCATGAAGTTGTTTTTAAGGTCATTCTCTTCTGCTTCATCTGTGTTGTGATGTTCAGGTCCTGCTGGTGTAGAATCCCTAGACTCTGGTGACATCAAAATTGTTTTTTCTGTTGTTGAATGTGTACTTATATTGTAGTCATCCGATCTCTTAAACCCATGGGTGCACTTGGGGTCTCTTCCTCTCCTGGTGGATACAGGTTCAAGGTTCTGGTGGGTGCAAGCAGGTCCAATACTGTGATGTGTTCACGGTGGGTGCAGGCATGTCTTTGGCACTCCCTCTCCTGGGGGTGGGAGCTGGACTAGCACAGTTCCATGAGCAGACTAGCAGTTGCTCAGTGTGCCCTTGGGATAAGTTAGCCTGCCTGCAGTTCCCAGGCCGGTAGATCTCAGAATGGGCAAGTGGAAGTCAGGCCGAGGGGCCGGAGCTTACCTCCACCCTGAGTAGAGGCCGGCATTTCCCAGAAATCTCAGCCTACTTGCAGTTGCTAGGTCCACTGGGGGTGAGTCCACCTGTGTGCAGGTCTCAGGTCAGGAGATCCCAGAGTGGGCAAGCGAAAGTTGGGCCTGAGGTCAACTATTTGTTTAAAAATGTTCACATGCTTACCTAGAGTTTGCTAATAGTTCATATACAAGGTAGGTGGCATTCATAGAAATGTGAGGCTTCCCTTGGAAGTCTCCCCAAGTCTCAAGTACAGTAATGTCATCTCTGGCATCTGACTTTAAACAGGTATTTTTGAAGGTTAGCTTTGTAATTGTTAGCTTCTCTCTAAGACCTATTCAAATTCATATTTTTGCTCCACTTATGGATATATCATTTTACTAATATCATATATTTGTAGTTTTCTTTGTGACCACCTCTTTTCGATCAGTACATAATAAATGATTATTGCAAAGCAATGTTTTATAAAACAGAGTGTGTCTTCTATGACTCTAACTTCTGCTCCACCTAAGATGATGTAACAATGGCTCTGTTAAAACTTGATGAAGCTGTTACTTGGTCTTCTTTTTTATCTCCAAAGAAAAAGTTGACTGTAAATAACTGATATTTAGCTACTGGAAAATAAATGGCAATTTGGGTAGCAAGAAGGAAGGCCTGGGATGGTAAACTTGACTTAAAAATTATTTAGACATAAGATGAAATGGTTAAATTCTATTCAACATAACCTTAGAACTTTTAGTTACCATAACCTGATGCTTAGTCAAGCCAAAGGTTCCCCAAACAATGCTTGGATCCTGAAACTAAACTATGAGCCAATGAATAAGATATTAGAGAGAAGTTGTTATTTCTTTTTTTCCTGTTTCTTTTACTGTCTACCCAATTTCATATATCACTATAGTTAGTAAGGCTAAATTTTTAGTTATTTATAAATAGGGCAGAAAAAAGGCTACAAAAATCATCTACAACAGTGGTTTTCAACCTGTGGGCCAAGACCCATTTGGCAAAGTCTATCTCCAAAACTATTTACCTTATGACTCATAACAGTATCAAAATTACAGTTGTGGACTAGCAATAAAATGTCATGGTTGGGCGTCACCACAACATGAGGAACTGTATCAAAGTGTCACAGAATTATGGAGGTTGAGAACCTTTGATATAGAACAATGCTTTCCAGTAAAATTACCACCTTCTATGCAGAATTCCACTGACCTCTCCTATATGCCACAGCATGTTGATCAGTACTTCTCCTTATATTTGTTACTATTATTAGTGATACCCAAAGTATATTTGATTATCAAATGAAAAACAATAACAAAAATCAGGAGAGATCTGTGAGTCTGCCCTTTGCCACCACTTCTTTCCTCCAAATAGTACATCTCTTTATTAAATATTTTAAATTCCTATATTACATCCCAATTGCAGTTTCCTCATGCCACACCACCCATACCTATCCACTCCTCCATTTCTCTTTAGAGAAGGGCAGGCCTTCAAGGAATAGCAACCAATCATGAAATATAAAGTTTCAATAAGATTACGCACCATTCCTTCTATGAAGGCTGGATGAGTAAACCCAGTAGGAAGAAAATGGTCCCAAAAGCAATCACAAGAGTCAGAGATATTCCCCTCTCCCTCTGTTAGCCACCACTTCTTATATATTCTCTCCATTCCCTGAGCTTAAATAATTATATTTTATTCTGTATATTGTCCTGTCATTTCCTCAGCTGTATCCAGGCTTTCATTTTATTCCAGAAAATTGTAATATTTTTCTCTTCTGTCTTTCAGCCATAATTATTAGCTTGCTTTAGCTAATAATTTCAGTAACAGCTAAGGTACCTTTTAAAGTCAGATATGTCAAGCATTACGATATTTCTGTTTTGAATTCCTTCAGAGAAATTCATGTTTTATAAAATTCTTATCTCTTGGAACAATATAAAAGTCTAAACATATATGAATATTTAGTTTTCCAGCATCATATGATAGAAATGAAACAAATTAAGCAAAAATACTTCAATTATAAATAATCATCTCTCTCATTTAAAGCATTATCATCTGTCTCTTTCCCAGCTTCATATGCTATTGTTTCTACTTTTGAAATGTACCTTCTCAACATACCAGAATGCATTAGTAACTTAATGCATGGAAGTCTTTATGTTTCCCATGCATTAGATGAAATACTCTTTCCTTCAATGTCACTGAGGTTAAATTGAAATCATTCTTTAATTTTCAGCTGAATTTGCAGCTCCTTACTATCTTTCCCCAGTCTCTAAATCAGGGTTTATCACTACTTTGACCTACAAGAAGAATAAAGTTCATTTGATATAATATTTTAGCATAATCATGTATTTCATAGCCATTGAATAATGCTGAGGTCTGCCTTTTTGGCCTTCAGAAGTATTATACATCATGGAAAGAAGATATGTCATAAATGCTGTTAATGAGTAACAGACTGAATAAATAAATGAATTAATAAAGTCAAAATGACAATAAATACTATGTGGGTCAAGTCACTTGGAATTTGAAGAACAAGACCTATACATTTATTTTTAAAGAATCTTGCATAAAAATTTCAGAGAGCTGGAAGATGAGGTACACATTATGTGAGTAATTCATAATGGAGTGACTCATATATGGCAATGACTCATAACAGCAAGTCAAATTGTAGAGAAGATATAATTCTGATGACTTGGAACAAAAGACTAGCTGAGGAAGGCTATAGCCAGTGTGAGCGACTAAAGGAGGGTGTATATCCCTTTGTTACTGCATCCAAGCCAGATTGAAAACACCCAGGGAGAACAAAGTTGGGATTTCTAAGTCATTAGTTTACAACTAGTGCCTGGGCCAATGGACCCAATATGTGATGTTGCCCTGTATTTTGAAATTGGCTTGTAATTTTTGCTCTTCTTTCATTGAGCAAACAAACAAGCAAACCATTCCATACTAATTGTTAACAGCCAAGAGGAATTATGTTTGTGAAAAATTCTAGTTAATAATTTCTAACTAAAAAGGTATCTAGACAACTTTGTCCCTTATTTTTCTTTTGGTTGATTTGTGGAAATGTATGTTATACAGCTATTTGAGTACATGATTATTTACTTATGTATACAAACAAACATCTGTAATTTCAAGTGTTTTGGTTATGTTTTGTTAATATTCAGTTACTGGTAGATCTGAATTCCAAAATCTAAAATTTGAACTGTAAGCAATATACCCCATGCTCCTGGGATCATGGGGTTTATGTTTGATAAAGAAGAATCATATCATTTTCATCTTAGATACAATTTATTCATTTAAGTGAAGCAAACAAAATCCCATTGATTCCAAATATTTAAGTAGTAAATTGTCTATTGTGATAATTTCAAGTAAGTTTTCAAATTATATTTTATAACATACCTTAGAAAGTTTTAGAGTACAGAATAACATACCCACATCATGATTCAGTTATGTAATTAGTTTTGCTTTTTGTTTGTTTCATTTTCAGATGTAATACTAGAACACTTTATACGTGTCTATTGTCTATAAGCATCCAGTGAGTACTATGATACAGTACCAGAACACAACAGCATCAGAGATTCTTTCATATTTGTAAGTACTAAGCTTGAAGAAGATAATGCTTATCTGGGATATACACACACACAGTACTCATTTTCCCTGTCAACTTAGAACCACAAGTGGCCAGCAAAGTATAAATAGCACCGAGCAAAGGTTGGGATATGATTTCTCTGGTTTCCTTCTCCCTATCATTTTAATCATGAGTGTTTCTTTGTTGAGATGGAACATCTATCAGATCATGTCCACTAATTTCTGCCAACAGGAGGTATATACTTTTTATTTGTTTGCTTGATCTTTCTTGCTTTGTTCCTGATGAAGTTTCTTGCTATGCAGTCTGACTGGCCAGATGTTTCCTATGTAGACCAAGCTGCTTTCAGAGTTCTGGGTGTCCTGTTGCTTCTGCTTTTTAGTGTGCATATTTTAGAACTAGAGTAATGCCTGGATACAGATATCATTTGTCGAATTATTTAATACATATAGTGAAAGTGAGAGGTAAATTCTTGTTTAAATTATCATATTTTGTGTTTTTTGTAACAGCTCACTGTTAGTTTATCTTGAATAATTTGTGTTAAGTGCCCACCATTGACATTTTACTAAATCTATGCTGTATTGGAACTATATCCCAAATAGCCTGTTAAATAATCTGTGACATTTTGTGGGTATGTCTTTTAATTAATTGAAAATTTAATTCAATGTGTTTTGATCATATTCATATCTTACTCCTTCCCCTAACTCCACTTATCCATATCCTGCATCCCTCCCCTTTCAAAATTTTGTGTCCTCGTTTTCTTTTTCCTAAATACCCCAATGAGTCCAGTTTATGCCAAGTAAATACTCATGGATGTGGGTCCATCCACTGGATTTTGGTCACCTATTAGGTGCCACAGCCTTAAAGAAAACTGACTTTCCCTTCCCCAAAATGTGGTATAGATCTAAACAAAGAATTCTCAACAGAGGAAACTCAAATGACTGAGAAACACTTAAAGAAATTTTCAATGTCCTTAGCCATCAGGTAAATGGAAAACAAAAGGACTCTGAGATTCCATCTTATACCTGTCAGAATTGCCAAGATCAAAAACACAAGTGACAGCTTATTCTGGTTAGAATGTGGAACAAGGAGAAGATGCCTCTACTGCTGCTGGCAGTGCCAAGTTGTGCCACCACTTTGGAAATCAGCATGACAATATCTCAGAAAATTGATGTACTTCAAAATCCAGTTATACAACTACTGGGCATTTTCCCAAAGGATTCTCCATCATGCCATAAGGACACTTGACACTTACTCAACTATGACCATAGCAGCCTTATTCATAATAGACAGAATTTGGAAACAATATAGATGCCCCTCAAATGAAGAATGGAGAATGAAAACGTGGTACATTTTCATAATGGAGTATGGCTCATCTGTTAAAAAATGAATTCAGGAAATTTGCCAGAAAATGGATGGAGTTACCGAGTGTGATAACCCAAATAAAAAATGATAAACATGGTATGTACTCACTTATAAGTGGATATTAGCTATAAACTAAAGGATGATCACAGGGCAGTCTACAAACCCAAAGAGGCTAAGTTACAAGAAAAACTTAAGGGAAGATGCAAGGATCTCCCTAGGAAGAGCAAATAGATATGCAAACTTGTGGTGGGTAGGGGTGGGAAATGGGGTAATCATATCACAAGGGTTGTTATGGAGGAATAAAACAGTGGAAGAAACAGCTGTAATTGGGGGGCATTTCAGGAGGAAGGTAGAAACCTAGTGCAGTGGAAACTCCATGGAATCTATGAGAGTAACCCTAGGAACAACTATTAATGTGGTTACAGAACTGGCCATCTTCTGTAACCAGGCAAGGCCTCCAGTGGTGGGACTTGGACACTAACCCAGCCACAAAACCTCTGACCTACAGTCTGTCCTTCCTGTAGTGTTCTTTACTGTAGCCTAGCAGAATCTTCATCAAGGAGACTAGAGAGACTTCCCCCAGCAACTCATGGGAGAAGATGTAGGGACCCACAGTCAAACCTTATGCAGAGCTCAGGGAGCCTTGTGAAGGAGGAGAGGAAGGATAGAAGGAAGCAGAGGGGTCTTGGATGCAATGAAAATATGGCCCATGGAAATCAACGGACAAGGACTCATGTGGCTTGAAGAGAACCTTTAGGGGTCTGACTTAGTTTCTCTGAATATATGTTATGTCTGAGTAGCTTGGTGCCCTTGTGGGATCCCTAACAGTGGGAGAAGGGGCTGTCTCTGCCTCTTTTGTCTGCATTTGGGACCCTTTTCCTCCTACTGTGTTGCCTTGCCAAGAAATGATGGTATATGTCTATTCTTGTAGCTTGTTATGCTGTGTTTGGCTCATGTTCCTGGGTAGTGTGTTCGTTTCTGAGGGGAGGCAAGGGTGGATGTGTCTGGGGGAGGAGGAGGTTGGGGGAGAGGGACTACAGAGAGGAGAGGCAGGAGAAACTGCAGATGTAGTATAATATACGAAAGAAGAATAAAAAAGTTACTGACTACCATTATTGCTATATGTTTAATGCAATTATGGTCAAATATGAATGAGATCAGGGAGCTTACTGCTATTGTGGTGCTGTCTTATTATTTGGGCAGTTATTGTCTGTTTTGTGTTGTTCTAATTTTGGAATCTATTTACACTGATTTTTTTCAAAACGGGGTTTCTCTGTGTAGCTTTGTAGACCAGGCTAGCCTTGAACTCACAGCGATCTGCCTGCCTCTGCCTCCTGAGTGCTGGGATTAAAGGCATGCACCACCACTACCCGGCATTATTTACACTGATATTTAAGCAAAGCAAATTAGATAATGTAACATAGGTGGTAAAGAAGTTTCAACAGAGTGTGCTGTCATCATTGTTGCTTGGCTGCTACCGTGCAATAAGAAGTGATATGTTAAGACATCTTCCACCAAACACTCCACCTGCTACTCTCCACTTTTCAACAACATTGTCATGAATCTAAATTATATCCATATGCTGGCATGTGCACCGTGGCCTTGACTCATGTTGGAGTTAAAGAATGGAAGAGCTCTTCTCGAGTTTCTAAGCAACCGCTGGATTTAATGTCATAAAAATCATGGATGGACTTGACTAAAGGAGTTCTCAAGGTAGATGGAATTGGAGGTCGTGCAGATATTTTCACAAATTCTGAAATTCTTGTTGCTATGAAGGATAGCAGTGAAATTGGCAGTAACAGTTTCAGAAAGTGAGATCTAGAAATTTTATTCTTTACAGAAAATGGATGTTTTAACTGATATAAAAGGTTCAATAAGGAAGGTATAATTAAGAATACTATGGGATGGAAGACACTCTACTCTTGAACAAACAGCAAAAGGCAATCTTAGAGTGTCAGCTGGAGGCTTAGCTTCCAGAACACCTGTCTACTGCCAATAAAGGGAGACCCCTTTACTTCATGAGATCATGTAGTAATGAGGTTGACCTTGGTTTTTAAAATGCAATTTAAGTAAAAAAATGCTGAAGTGATGAATGATAATTTTCAGTTATAAAATTTTCTATTAATGCTACCATTTGCAACTGAGTAATATGAAATGATGTGGAGTTTTCAGTGCAAAACTGTACAGCATTGTCATCTTTGAGAAAGGAAATCATCTAATAACAATGTTAAGACCAGGCTCTTTCTTGAGTGCTCATACCCATTGGATTAGTGCTTCTGGGTAAGTTTTGCTTCAGAGATAAGAGTTTGAATCAAACTGGCCACTCCTCTTCTTCTTACACACCTACAAGTGTGTTGAATCAGCCCCTGCTTTCCATTACCAATGAAACAAAGGCAAAGTTGATAGTAGCAGAGATTGCATTTCACCAAAACTAGAAATATTAAGTATATGATATTTTATGTAAAACTCTATAGATCCTTGGTTAAGAATTTTCAGCTCAATTGAGGAGGGCTCCTGAAATTTTAGATGAGAATAAAATGGTTCCATTAAACATGTAATTCTTAAATAAATTAAAGATAAAGATGATTTTTTATTTTTATATGAGTATGAGTTTACTTAAACAAGGTGCTTTTGTGCACCTCCTGTGTGGAGGAGCTGGGAAAACCAGAAGAGGACATCAGATGACCTGGATCTAGATTACAGCCCCCCATGTGTGTTCTGGGAACTAAAACCCAGGTCCTTTACAAGAGCTGCCTGTGTTTTTAACCTCTGAACCATCTCTCTCACCACTAATTCAATATTTTGACTAAATTAAGAATTAAAATAATTATGAAGAACAAGATGTATTGTTTCTCTTTTAGTTCCTGTAAGTTTGATTTTAGTGGTTTATTAGTCTTGGTAAATAAAACATGTTAATGCTAGCATTTCAGGGTGTGTTTCCATGTTTTAATGTGGTTTCCTTTAATTTTCTTTGATTTGGACTTTATTTGTTTTGGTGACTTGGCAATGATATGAACTGACTGGAATAAAGTTTTGGGCACTTAGTAAAAACATGTTCCAGATGGTGGTGTAGCAAGGACCAAAAATGACGCATTATTGTTTCTTAGTTTTCTTCTGCATTTTTACTCTAATAGTCTTTTTCAGAGCAATTTTGTGTTCAGAGAGAAGAGCTGTGGAAAGGACAGACAGTTCGCATAGAACTCTGGTGCCACAGGCACAGAAGTTTTTCAACAATCAACAGTCCCCATGAATTGTGGTGGTAAAAACCATTACCGTCAGTGGACCTGAACTTATGACAACACATCATTCCACCAAAGGGCCATAGTTAACTCTGGGGTGTTCTTTTTTGCTGTTGCAGTCTATTGGTGAAGGAATAGTGATGTGTATTTGGCATTATACTAGCTATCCTGCAGAATACATTGTTCCACTAAAGTTCCTGTTCTTGGTTTATTCCCCTCACTAACTATATTCTTTGCCAAATGCAGGTAGTTGTTTTTTTTTTAAGTCTTTTTCCTTTCCAAGATTATCATATAGTTAGAGTCAAACACTACACAACCTTGTCACAAAGATTCCTTTGGCTTATCAGCACATATTATGTTCCTCTATGGCTTTCCATGGCTTGAGAGTACATTTCATTTTGTGTGCTTGTGTATGTATGCTCACATGTGTGGGGTTATACATATGTATATGGGTACATGTGCTAATATGCATGTGAAAGCAGAAGCCAGAGAACAACCTTCATGCAGTTCCTCAGATGCTGTCATTGTTTTTTTGGGGGTGAGGAGAGACTAAAACTCTCATTGGTGGAAGCCACCATTAGGTGAGGCTGACTAGTCACCAAGCCCAGTGATCTGCCTGTCTCTACCTCTCGGATACTAGCATAACTCATTCATATCTCCAAGCATTTTTAAAGTATGTTCTCTGAAGGTCAAACTCAGAATCAATGTAACAAACTGGTGGTTATTCAAGTACTTCAGTGCAGAATTCTACTAGAAATGCAAAGAAGGGCTAGTTCCAATATTCCTCAGTGTTCCACACAATAGAAGCAGAAGGTTCATTGCCAAACACTTTTTACAAGGCTAAGATTACCTTGGTAACCAAGCCACACAAAGACACAACAAAGAAAGAGAACTACAGACCAATATCCTTCATGAATATTGATGTAAAAATACTCAGTGAAATACTAGCAAATTGAATCCAAGAACACATCACAATATCATCTACCATGATCAAGTAGGCTTCATCCTAGTCATGGAGGGATGTTTCAACATACAAAAGCCTATCAATGTATTCCATCATA